GTGCCAGTCCCAGTACTGACCCCTGAGGAATGCCACTTGTCACTGTTCTCCACTTGGACATTGAGCTGTTGACCAGAGATTATACCAAGAGATTCACTACACAAAGCCTCCAGATATAACCACTCACCATTTGTGGCCATGTCCCAGCTTCTGGTTTTGAAGATGTCCTTAAAACCACACTGGCTAATGAAATTTTAGGAGGATGTCAACACCGCCAGTCTGATTCCACTCATTTGTGAAGGAACTCAAAGTTTTCGTTTAGACTTTTAAATTAAAGAGTCCCTACCCAAGGTGAGAGTAAAATATTTTGTCCTTTTTATAATACCCTTCAAATCTACACAATAAGACACAGGAAGATTCTTTGAACTTTGCCGATCCCTAGACACAACACAATGGGTTTCTCCAAAATGCCTCCACACAGACTTTGGCTAGAAGTCTACAAGTCTAAAAGCTTACACATTTTTGGCACCACTGCACCAAAAATCGCAGGTGTCTCTCAAGCCTTTGTGCAAATCTACATTGGTAATTCCAGAGACAGTATTCAACCTATTAACTTGGCCATCTGCATTTCTTATGACTAAATCTGAGCACACAACAATCTGCTCTTGCTCATCTCTCACACCCTGCCTGAAACAAACTTATTGATGCATGAAGGATTAGCAGCACTCCCTCAAGGCAAGGTACCATTCAGAGCAGACAATGTTCCTAAAACACATTTCTGGGATGGCACCCCAACTCGCACCAAGAAAGAAGTTTTAGTGGACTCTCTCTATAGCCCCATCCTAACTTGCTTTCCTTTTGTCATGTCTTAAAATGTTGCAATTTCACTACAAATTTAACCATGAGTTCTGTAGGATTGTTTTGACTTTGTACGATGATTCATCTTTGGAGAAAGGAAAAAAAACCCACTAGACCCCCCCCAATTTTTTCAATTGGCATTCAAAGTAGACCAGTCAAAAAAAAAACCAACCTCTCACCATATAATATAGCAAAATGTTCTTTGTGTTTCAGGCCTTCTCATACACAACCTCTGAACTTCCTAAGTAATCATTTTTAATTGTTCTTGAAAAATTAAGTATCTAGCAACTTACTTCCCCAAACAGGAATATCTTTGCTTTCTGCTTTCATCACAATGGAGGCAAAGGTCATAGTTACTGGAATGGCATCAAAGTAGGAAGAATGGGGAGCCACAGTTAATATTGCTGCTTCCGCCGGCAACGCTCGTCTGCCTTTTACATTTATCCAGTGGAATCCACCAGCAAGCCACATCATTCTCATGATTGCTTTCAGCAAAATATCCACTACCCTGTAAAAAGTTGAGAAAACAGTTATGCTGTCACAGGAATACCTTAAAATAAAGAAAAACATTACAGAAAAAAATTTATAAGCACAACAAAAGCACAGATACGATATGCTGCTTAAACAGAACGGGAACACTGCATAGATCTTTTTTTTTCCCCTCAGCAGATTTAAGACCACTTTCAAGGTAAGATGCCATTCAATTTCATTTCATGCCTGAATATTAATGCTTTTTAATCACAGTAAAATTGGCATTTATTTTATCACTAAATTAATTTTCATTCACACTATGACTGTTGTTTCTATACATTATCTAATAACACTTTCTAGAAATATCAAAAAAGCTCTAGTAAACCAAGTTCTGAAAAATATTATTAGGATATTGCTAGAATGCAACAACCCTGATTCTTGTTCACCCAAACAAAACAGTGGAGAACAGTAGAGAAGTGTAGGGCAGAGATTCTCAAACACAGGGATGCCTACAGCACACATCTGGGAGCTTTGGAAACATTTTACTTTCTTCTCTTTTCCCCGTGTCCTCCTAAAGTGATTTGGGTTTTCGTTTTTGCTGGGTTTGGGGTGGAGTTTTGTTTTGTGTTGTAGGGTTTGGGATTTTTTTGGGGGGGTGAGGGGGAAGGGGTGTTGCTTGTTTTTTTGAGTGTCTGACAATCATGAAAAGAGAAACATTTACTTTGAATCATTAGAGTACAAAAAGCAAACACCACATCGTTACATTCACAGGGAATGGAGGCTGGAGATGAGGGTGATACTGAAAACTGGATGAAATGGAGGAGGGACAATCTCAAAAGCTTCAAAGTAACAGCATGCAGGACTGAAGGCAGCCCATTATTCCTTTAGTCATTATACTGATATCATTCCAAATGAAATGTAAAGTGACATGCTTCTGTGGTTCTCAACCTCCTTCCCTCCTGTGATGCAAAATGCAATCAGCTTCCCCTGTGCTAGTGCCAGCTCCTAATTTTGAAGTTCTCTACAGAAGAGGTGATACACTCCTTCCTTGCTCATTAAATGCCAGTTTTCATGGATGGGTGAATGCTATCTTACATTCTACCTTAATTAGCATTCCTATATCAAAGTAAGCACAGACTTAATAAGCACCAAAGCATGGGGCAAGCCCTCAGAGAATCAACAGATGTTTTGTCAATTCATCACAGGGTAGCAAACAATGGGGTGAAGCAGTTTAAAATAACAATTTAGAATATGAAATCTGAGCACATTCAGTAATGTCAATCTTCATAACAGGAAGTTGACATTACGGGAAAATTTGAAATTGAAGGATGTCACAATGAAGCTTCATACTACATCCTCAATAAAGATAAGAGGCCAGAGATGACCAGTTTTTCTGCCTGGGACTCTTGGGTCAGCTGGTAATTCAGTTGAGGTATTATTAGTTTCCCATCTGAGGGAAGTGTTTAAATAATAATTTTTATATTTTTCTTTTGAAGTGAAAAGCAGGTCTATGAGACAGATATCAGGTATTTCCAATCCTCTCTATTGCAAACTGCTGAACTAAATAATAATTCTCGCAGTATTTCACCACATCAGTGACTCACTTTCGCCACCAGGAGAGGGGCTTTTCAAGCTCTTGCTCATCAGATCCCATTGAAGCAATGAATGCAAAAGGCCAGGCCAGCAACATCATAAAAGCAGCAAAAAAGAGTCGGATAGGAAACAGAGTCAAGGTCATGAAGGCAATCTGCAAAATCCAAAACAAATGTGTTATTCCAACACCATCTTGGACTGAAAAAGTCAGCAATTCCTAGAAACTGATCTGAAGTCTTAACTTAAAAATATCTAATGTTAAAAACAGCAGAATATGCTTCAATTCCAAACAAATAATTGTAACGTATGCGTAACAATTATATATTCACCAATCTTAATCATAGCTGAAACACAGCACACTTTAGAGCTAATGCAGTCTTAGCTTTCCATGCTTCTTCAGACCCTATATTTGTCAGCGAATACATCTGCAAGCTCTTTTCCCTTTCTGCAGCCTCACATGAAGTAAATATTTAGAACGGGCATGTTGTAAATCCTACTGCACTACAGAGAGTCAGTCCATCACAGCAGCTGCCAGCCAGTGATGTGCACTTCTTCAGCAGGGTGCGTTCACATGACAATACAGGGCCCAGCCTGGAAAGCTCTTCCAGGCCTGGGCAGGCACCAATTCCTCTGTTCTATGTTCTTGGAAGCAGAAGCTGTGGGGAACCACAGTGGGGAACACTGTGCAGGGACACCTCCGGACAAACATCCAGACACACATATGAGTTTATGTTCCAGGCCTGTGCTAACAGGCACAACAGCTGGAAAGCAGAGGTTTTCAAGTTATCCTCCCTGGGAAGCCATGGTGAACCTAGTTGCTTTTGTACCTCCTCCCAGCACTCTAGTTCTCAGAGAGCCCATTCCCAGCCAGTCAGCCCTCTGCCTTCAACTTCAGTGAAAAACATGTCATGCTGGAACTTCTCCAACAGTCTCCCCAAAGTAGGGCCTTTCCTGAGCTGTTGTCCTCCAGAAAACACAACTGAGCAACTATCTGTGCAATGATCCACTTGCTCCCCAAAAAAAGTTCCGGGAACCAAGAGTCCCAACTTTCGCACTCAAAGGAAGAAAAAAAGCTCTTAAAGTGGAGGAGGGTACAGCTTCAGACGACTGGCTAAGGGAGAGGGAACTGAAAACTATTTGAAGCTGACTGGGGTAGCAGCAATGGTCAAGCTGTACAATGGAGGCTAGCAGAAGATGAAAATGACACTATGAAATAGAAGGGCCATGTAAAGAAAGAGAATGTAAAAGGAAATATGGTACATATTCACAGGTGCACCGGATGAGGTAGAAAAGTACTTTTCAGCATCACAATAGCCAGGCAAGGATGAGTAATGAGGCATAAGGTGCTGTCTCACATTGTGCTTAATCTGATGCATCTCCAGGCTGCTGTGGAAAGCATTATTCATATTCTTCTTCTCTTCCCTGATGCACATCTAGTCATCATGCCGCTCAGTTTTCCATTGATCAGTTCCTGCTTCCTCTCACTTCCCAAAACAGCTCAATAACAAGCTCACCCTGTAGCTGCACAAATCTGTAGATCTAGGGTAGGGGCAGGGAATACACAGCAGGAGAAAAGCCTCATCTACCAGTTTCAAGCCCTAACCTACAAGTCCACTGCAATGCCAGATTTTACAGTGATGAGACTGGCACCATCAACTCATAACAACCATGGTCTCACCCCCCCAGAAGACAATTCTAGTCCCTGGGTGGACTGCTTCAGTTTGCAGAATGAAAAGAAAAAGGATTTTTTTTTTTTTTCCCTTAGGCTAGTTTCCCAGATGAACCAGTACAACTTCCTAAACTGCAATGGTCAGATGAGCACTGAAGTCATAACTCATGCAACTCTGCATCCATAGACAAGACCACCATACCTGGCAGCAAATAGGGGAGCATTAATCTGCAAACTGGAGAAGAGAGAACAGCTGCCTTCTAAACTTGTAAAAGGAGAAGGACCAGCTGTCAAGATAAAAGGGAAGCAAAACACAGGTGAGGACACAGTCCTCTGGGATTCACACTCCCTCTCTCCTACTCAAAGTCTCCTCCTATACCCGGGTAAAGCTGAATGGTAGGTGAGGGGTGGTGAGCTAGTCAGTTCTTTGCATCTTTGTAGCAATCCTTTGTATCAAGATCATTTTAGAGCTTCATCACAGAACAGAAGCAGTGGTTGCATCCATAAGGTTGTGAAAGATGCCGTAAATGTGTCGAAAAGGCCTCCTGGTCTTCTGTGTCTAGAGACAGCAGTGGTGGAAGTGGCCAGCAAGAAGTAATTCCAAGTACACAGGTATACAGGGTCTGGCTGTGACAACAGCCTCTTTTTTAGCAGATGGTAGTGCAGTACCTGTCCACACAAGAAATTTATTAGGAGAGAGAATTATGTTTGACCCCTGAAGAAGGTTAGTGATCAACAAAGACACTAACATTTGAAAAGTAGTTCAGTCTACATCCACATTTGGACACCTTCCCAGGTAAGAAAGCTTCTATCCTGTAAAACCTATGTACAGTGGTAGTATAAGTGTCAGACAGAAAAAGGAAGAAGATTCTGTCCCCGCTGGTCACTGTCAGAGATCAGACTACAGGATGCATACACTTCTGGTTTGACCTTGTACAGACATCTTATTTCAGTGATTGTATTTCTATGTACTTAGGACATTCACCCAGATGTGTTTTCCATTAAAATTACAAATTCTATCTGGTAATAAGTCATACATAAACACCTGTGTTTTAAGATACATTTAAAAAACCCCTAAAGGTCCATCTGGAGCTGTACCTTGGGAGGTTCAGCTCATGACCAATTTTCTCAGGAGGGGTTTGACTACAGCTCATTTAACATTTGCTAGTGTACAGGATCCTACTTAGTTTTTCAGAAGTTGCAGTGTATGCTGTGAAAGACCCATGGACGGCACGAAGGGAAAGGATGCTCTTACAGCTTGTAACAGAAGGCTGCCCTTCTCTTCCGTCAGAAGGGCTTCAATCTGATGTAAGGCAAGTCACATAAACTAAATAGGTATCATGTTCTCCTCATTTAGGGACTGTGCATTCAGATTTGAGTATGAACTTGCAATGAAGGTATAAAATATGAACTTAAGTCCTTTTTATGTTCTCCAAAACATCAGGTCCTGCATATCTATGCACTGTGCAAGAGAATCACAGAGTACTCTTGTTTCTCCTTTAGCATGTCTGTTTCCTGTCTTGAAAGTCAGTATCATATCTCTCCTGCACAGAGAAGCTGAAAAAATGCATCTTTGAAATTAGCAAGAGAAACATGATTAAAAGACAGTTTATTCACCACAAAATTTCCATGATTTATTACAAATTAATGGTCACATATTGAACAAAGAAAATAGAATAATGAACTGCAAATTTAACACGGTAGAGGTTTTGATTTTTCTTTTAAACACATCAGATAGAGACTACATCTTGCCCCACACTTTCACTTCTTTACTATTATCATCCCAATAGCCTCAATTCACCAAAGGAGCTAGAAATTAATCCCTCAACAATTCTCTTACTACCCACTTTCCCACTCTGTAAGTTCCCCAACTGACACAATCATGGACACGAGCACAGGAGTAGAAATTTTCATGTGCAACTAAGCCAATGTGACAGACCACTGCTGCTAAAGAGGGTGGTCCTGTCCACTCTCCCCTCAATTCTCCCCTTGAGTCAGCTCTAGTACTTATCTGAGCTTGCAATGAGCCAATACAGCTCATTAGAATGAAGAAAAGCAATCCCAGCAAAAGAAAACAATCAGAATACAGAAAAACACAGTAATATGGTGGTTTAATGAGCCAAATCAGCTCACCAAGGCACCAAAGAAACACCCGCATTGGTGCAATAAGAGGCCCAGAAACACTGGAAGCAAGGAAAATGGCATCATATTGTGTTTTTGGGAGGCAGGGAAACAAAGCTATGAACACTTCGTGACAGCTTCAGTAATGCTTCTGCCTGTTCACAGAGGTAACTAGAATCAAGAGCTTTGACTTATGTGATAGGCACCCAGAAAACGTTCGGATGAACAAAATTCATGGATAATGAAATAATGTCTGTATTTCTTCCAGAAAGGATCTTTTTATTATAGTACTGAAATAAAACAGGTAGCTTCAAGAATGACCCCCACTGTCACCCTCAGATCAGAGTGAAATAACCATCATTTCTACAGGAAGTGTGAGACTCAGTTCTCAAATAGCCTTACTGCTTTTACACTCCTGTTATCTCCCAGCTTTTACAAAGCCAATAAAACATTATGTGAACAACTCCTTGGCACTCAAATGGATTTCTTTTTGCTGTTGTTCTTCCTCTTTGCCGTTGTTTCCTCCTCTTACTTTCTACCTTTTTTCCTCACTCCCACAGTCTCAGGCTGGAATGTTCTAAAATGCATTTACTTTGAGTTGTAATAATGAGCAAAAAAGCTAATCTAACCTCTTGCAGAGTGCAAAATGAGGGAGGGATGAGGTAGTAGTGAAGATAATGGGACTATCTAGCAGACCAGTAGCAACAGACAACAGACCGTCAGACAAAGCAGTCTTGTCTCCCCTGTGCTCACCAACTTATTCACGTACCTCTAGTCCCCACACATCCCTAACCTTCCTCGATAGGCTTTGCAATCCCAGAACTCACCCCTATTAGATTCACAGGGCAGATCAAAAAACCTGTGACACAATATACGCCTATAGCTGAACAGGAAGTGAGTTCAGCTGTAATACTTCATATCGAACCCTCGGTAACAGGCCAGGATTGTATGGAGGAGAACACACACTGCTGTAATTGACTGTAAAGTAGCCTCCCCATTCAAGACGTCTCCCTTGCTGGGAGAGAAGCATTTCCCATAAGTAGAACAGTTCCACAGCTCTTCTTTAACAGCATCTATCTCCAGCACAACTTTTCTTTTAACCAGCAAAGAGGTTAGGAGAGCATGATTAAGGCAAAGAAGAAAATCTATCACCGTTCTGTATGTCAGCTTGTGTGCTTTCTCCCTCACGCAAAACTGCAAAAATAAGATTGCAAGAAAGGCTCGGTTAAAGAACTCTGTGTCGCTGTACATCAAAAAAAGATTGCTCACTTAAAAAGCAAGACCAAGCCCCACACTTTGGTGAGGCTATTCCTTTGGTCTGCACACTGTAAAAAACTGCAGAGCTTTAAACACATCTTAC